GCGATAACCATCGACTGACCGTGACGTCCTGCTTTCAGCACTCCCCACAAGCCCAACAGGACTGGGGAGGAACTGTAAAGTTTGACTTTGGGCCTACAGGTGAAACCTGGGATTAAAGGAGCTCACATGCTTCAGTTCAAGAGTGCAGATTTTTTTGTAAGACAGCTAAAATCAATAAATTGTGTTTAAATATTTTATTTGGATTAACATTATATGAGTATATTTATGTTATTAGAGTTTTTTTTTCTTTTACAACATTTTAGGGAGTATTGTCTTAATTTCATTATGCTTGTTGATGACAATAAAGACTAATTAGCTCAACAGACCTTCCTGATATTTGGAGACACTTACAGTTTTAACCCAACCTGTTTAAATTCTGTGCACAAGGATAAAAATAACAAATATAAACAAATTAATTACATCAGACCTATCAGCTATGGTACATCTAAACAGATAACTTCTTTCACAGAAAGTTAAAAAAAAAATACAGTTGTGTTTAGTTTTACACATCAGACTTCCTGCAGCATTTAGAGTCAAACCACCTGTTGTTTTTCTCCAGTCTTCGCACCCAGTTAGCCCCGGTCTCAGCGAGGAGTGAACAACAGTTTCACAATCCAGTCACATCTGAGAAGTGAAGTTAATGGCGCAGCAACAGGTCGAGGCTCCGAGCTCACATAATGGCAGGCTTTATTCCACTCAAGCTCATTTGGCCATTATGGTACAGTTAGTCTAAATAACAGCTGAAGAAATGGCATAATGCGCACATAGTGAGGAGAAGTGATATTTCCTACCCACCTATTCATATTTTAATCTCCGAGCCTCTGGAAAAAACAGGCGCAATGTGTTGTGAAAGGTTCTCCTGTGTATGAGCAGAAACTGTGGATTAATATTTTACAGTGTTTTAATGAACTAAAATTGCAGATTTTAAATAAATAAATAAATAATCTAAATTATTCTCACACTGTGGTTGAGCTGAGCAGCCTGTGGTGATGTGACCATTTCTCTGTTCTTGCTCTAATCTGATGCACTTGAATCTTAAATGGAGACATTTGGAGGCCATGCTAAAAAGGTCTACCTCAAACTGAACCGAAACTGCATGTTTAATGAGACTGTGATGCTAATTTTGTGGGGTATTTCATTTCTTATTTGGAAAATTAAAGTGTCATCTTCTGTGTTTTCAGTTTACTCACAGGGGTCAGTCCTTTCTCCCCAGAATATAAAAATGTTTTCATTATAAAAAAGCAAATATTAAACAAACACTATTCTAATGGGATGCCTTGTACTGCTATGAACAGATGGCATTCTCTCAAATTAAGCTGTCTCTTAGGCTTAATCTAGTAGCTAAACTTTGACTTATAGTGTGACAAACTTCATTGGATTTTACAGTCGTTTTTCCACACTGCACAGCCTGTTAGAGGCACAACAACCAGATATGAAACCAATTCAGAAGGTGTTCATTTTTCTTCTCTTGGTCAGTTAACATTATAGTTATATAGTATTATAGAGTTTAGTACATACAAGCAGCTCGGGTTAACACAGCTTCAGAGGCCTGTTGGTGGTTTCAATGAGCAGTTTTAAGGCGGATGTCAAGCTCCCTCTAGTGGAGGGTGTCTACCCTCTTCATCGTAGCAATAAAGAATCTATATTGAGCTTTTCTCTCAGATGCTCAGTGCAACAGGTCCTTATTCCTATATGTTACATATGCTACATGTACCAAACAGAGTGCAAAACTCTTGTTACTGGGCTATATAAATAACAAACATGGCATTTTAACCTGTGCTGTGCCACTGTTGTGAGAAAAATTAATTAAACTAAATACAAATATTGGTGTTTTAGCTTAGCATGGGAAACAGATATATCTATACTTCGGAGAAAGAAAGTCAAGTTTAAATGTTCAGCTCATACACAACTTTAACAAGAGCCAGAAAAAGATGCAGTGATCATATACTTGAATAACCTGAAGATGAATTTCTATTTATATCAACATTTCCACATTTTTAACACCATTTTCAGACTTAATATGATGTCTTATGATAGTATTCTGACCTAAATGAGTTCAAAACATTGGTGATTTTGACAGGAATGTTAAGCTAATCAAATTCATGAAGAAATAATACTATAGAGGTTATTGGTGGTAACTATATGCCTTTATGGTTAAATTTGTTGTCTTAGTTAACCATAGTTAGCAATTAGCGGCTTTTTCCTCTTAATGAAAATCTTATCTTAATGAAAAAAGCATTTAAAAAAGGACACTGGCATGCTGCTAGTTTAATTGTTCAAATCAGGCTCTGTCAGATAAAATAAAACATGCTCACAAACTGAAACGTTTAAGCTGATAGCTTTGATGAAACTGAATGTCTAACTCTGTAGAATAACTTAAAATGTAAAACTGCAATTACCTGCCAAAAGGAGTAAGTCTGTCCAGCATGAGTGCGCCAACACTTTTCCTGTTTGTTAGACTGTGCTGCCATCTACTGATCTGATCAAGTTTCACACCATCTGTCAACTCAAACAGAGCAATCTAATCTCACCAGTCTGTTCTCTTCCAGCTTTTGTTAAAAAAAAATCCTTTAATAATTGTGTTTTAGATTTAGATCAACTTTAAAAATACTGCACGCATTTCCTTTCCCTATTTGATTAGATGGCAAATTGATTTCTTCTGGGTAAAATTCCACTGGATGCATCTGCACTTTAAATCATCTAAAACATCCTAAGCATTAGAAAACTGTCTGAAGTCATGCAATACAAGATCAAACGACGTTCCTTCTTAGAAAAAGAACCACTCGTCATCATCTGTGCAAAGGATCACTTGAAAGATAAAACGATTAGTTGGTCTTCACAGGAAGTGGTGCACTTTAACCTTCTGGTGTGTTTGACCTGAAGCATCTTGTCATGACGAACATGACTCAGTATGGTTCATCTTCACCTACACTGGAAATCCAAACACCAGCAGCCACCAATATGAGACTGTTTCACTGACAGGAAGTCCAGTTTAGAAAAAATAATAAACAATAATGGAAATACAGTAAATCATATTAGATCTTTGTCCACTTCAATATGTGAGGTCTTTAATGCTGCGCTCTGTTATGACTGATGTTGATCTGTAATTAAAGAGAAACCAGGAAGCCTCAGCAATCACAAGAACCAATGTTTCAAAATATGCTTAACGAAGCAGTGATGTCATTTTGAACAGTTAAATTCATCCTGAAGGTTTTAGCCTCAGCCTGGCACTTAAATCTGAAACTTTTTAGAAAGTTTGTATTAAAACAAAATAATATGCTGTATAATTTGTTGTTGTTTATATAATTGGTTACATTGAATATCAGAAACACCCTTGTTTTAGAGTCAGTTTTTGAAGTTCTTTCCTCTTTTACACTTGTGGCCTGAACAGCTTGACGCTGGCTGTCCAGCACAGTGAGAAACTTTTAACATTCAAATGCTTTACAGCAGCTGCAAGATTGAAAGACTGTGTAGCTACATTGAACAAAAGTGCAACAACAACCATGCAGTAAATTTGCAGCATTAAAATAAAAAGAAATTCACACTTCATTTGAACACTACACTAACGATAAGCCATTATTAACTGACTAATAACAACTTTCATGCAGGCCAGGACAGATTTGCTTCCAGGATACTCAGAATCAAAACAACTATATTAACCATCAGTTTTATGAATGCAATCATCTACACGCTGTGTAATATGTATATGGTTCATAAACAATTTAGAGTGTTCATTCTAATTTAAACATTTCACCAACACACGCATGAGCATCTGTATGTCAACACTGCTATAGCTCTGATGTCTGCAAAGTCTCCCGATAGAATATACTCAGATTCAAAAATAGCCACAGAAAGCTTTTAATGTGAAAGGTTGGTACCAGGAAGGATCCAACATGAAGAAAAGCAGGTAAATAATAATGGGGAAAATGATTCTTTGTTGGGATACTGTTAGCTGCTTCACCTAAAGCATTCACTCTGATTTGTTCACCATGTTGAGTTCGTGTTGAGTTCTTGTTAGTACCAATAGTGCCGATAAGTCATGTGACTAAATACAAGATCTCTTGTGCAGTCACGATTAAGATGCAACCTATCTGAGTCTGTTCCGTCCTTATTTTGCTGCAGGGGAACATGCTCGATCCTTAGTTTCAAGGATCCCCTTAAAAACTTTTATGAACATCATATAACTTTAGAGTGAGCGAACACACAGCTGTGAACAGATCAGTTCTGTCTGATGCATCTGAACACGTTTAATAAAAGTGTGCCTTTGCTCTCTCTGTGTGCTTTGCTTATTCAAGGCTATGTGCTACACTTGCAACACAAAACATGTTGTGACTGTAATATAGCAATGATTTTTAACTAGCTTCACAAACACACAGACATGGGTGCATCAGGAAAACCTAAATCTGTTTCCCAAAATAGGATGATGAATGTTTTATTTAGTGAACTTAAGGGCCATTACTAATTAAACAGTATGTAATAAAGTGAACCAATGAAGGAATGAATTGTCTTATTTCTTAGCTTAGATTTACACAGGGACTACACAGACAGAGAAGCTAAACATGGACAGAATAAGAATAATTGGAACAACCGACTAGAAGGTCGCAGCTTTGTATGAGGATAATCAGACAGCTTTAAGCTTGTATACAGTGGGTAAAGCAAAGAATATGAAGCTTTTCTTATCCTGCTTTTGGTGTCATCTTTAATGTCAGCTGTGATAACCTGTTTCATGGGCAGAAACCAGCTTAATTATGTTTTCTATCAAATTCATTCTGATCATAAATATGGGTTGTTGTTGTTGTTGTTGTTGTTTTTTTAGCTTGGGCTGTTGCTTAACAACTTAACAACTAACAGAAACATCAAGAAAAACACTCAAATATTCCTTCCGTGTACAACAAGACTTAAAAAAAACCCCATTCGATTCCAAACAAACAAAATATGCAAAAGCAGCACTTGCAACAGATCTTTTGTCGAAAAAGTTTGATCCCGATTATAAACTGTACCTTATTTCTTGGATGTCTTCACTGCAACACAGCAGGTGGATTTCCATGCAGGAGCAGATGATGATGTCACTGTTCCCTCTCTGTTAAAGGGTTAAACGTTCAGACAAATTATTCTCCAAGCACTGAAGTCCTAGTCTTTTGAAGTTGTATAATTGCCATTTTGTTAGTTTTTAAGCAAAGAGACGCGTTTTTGCTCATTGGTACGTCGCTGTGGTCCTGCCATACTGCTGATGCTGAGGTTTGTCATCACCCCTCAACCTGCACCTCCTTGTCTTCTTTTTATTTTGCTTAAAGTCTTCCAACTTTTAGCAGATTTAACAAATTTAGCAACCAGAGAGGTGAAAAAAATTGCAAATCCACTTTTAATTTAATGAAGAAGAAAAACCTTCCTCAAAATGGCAAGTAGGCTGTGCTCAGAGAAAAGTAATCCTTCCACACCTGTTGCCTGGCCAAGAAAACCCCAGTTAAGTTAATGTTTTTCTAGCAACAAGTCAAAGAAGAGCAAGCCCCAACACCGTCATTTCTCCAACAGAGACAGCAGAGAAACGGGGTGAAGGATGGAGAGAGGAGGCGAGCATCCTGTCGTCTCTCAGCCAGGAGGATGAATGGAAAGCCTGCCTCTCTGCCTCCCTTTATATTCTCTTTCTCTCTTCCCCTGCTGCCTCACTTTGGCTTTTACCCTGGCTTCAATATATGTGTGTGTGTGTGTGTAGAGAGAGACCTCTTTCAGAGCAGCAGGAATATATTATAACCCAAACAAAAGGAGTCGGCTTATTGTTTATGAATTACCAGCCTTCCAAGCCAACAAAGGCCCCTATTTTCATAGAAAACTCCATTTTCATTTCAGCTCCATTTGATTACCAGAGCAAAGAAAAATAAAAAGGCCTCTCCGGTCGCAGCGTCCCAAAGGGATTCATTCCTCCTTCTCTCGCTCATTCAACTCCACTGAAAAGGTTTCTTTATTGCTTTCTTTTCAGGATCGACGTCAAATGGGCTTTTAGGAGTAAACCAATGACAAAAAATTATTGCTGGGCTATTTTGTACAATAACAGAGCCGGGGGAAGAGAGGAGTCCTGTGTTGTCTTTGTCATCTTTCTTTCCCCCTTTTCTTTCGCTCCTTTCTGCTATTGGAGAGGAAAATTGCAGAGGCTGAAAATTAATGGTGAGGCTTTTGGAAGGAAAGAGTGAGACAGAAAGAGGAGGACACAATGCAACAATACAAGTCAAATAGAAATTATCACAAGCTTTTCAGCACAATGAAGAGACAGAATGGTACTGTATGGCTCCAGAGGACTTTGACTGTGTGCATGTGGGAGTACCTTTCACAAAGCATACACCTGTTGGCCGAAAACAATAAAACTCCAGTGATTCCTTTCACTCTTAGTCAGTATCCTGCATGCATGTGTGGACTCACACTGCAGTCTAGCTCCTGATTATTAGTTTCCTCTGCCACCAGTCGCCTGTCGACTGATCTGTGAACAGTGATGCTTGTTAATGGACTAAATCTAACTAAGTTACATTTAGAGTTAGACAAGTATGGGCAACAAAACCGCTGACACCACTGATAAAGAAGGCAAAAGGTGCTAATGCTGCTGAAGCTGAAGTTGTTGTGAAGAAAGAAGAACATTAAGTAATATTTCCACAGAACTACCTTTAGTTTAAGATTGCCACTTGTACACTAAGTGAATGAAGGGGGGCTGCAGTTATTTGGTCATCTTCTTACAAAGCAATGTTCTCTCTGCTGGGTTGTGGTATTGTGGTCTTAGAACCAACCACCTAATCTTAGTTGAAAACACACACACACACACCCAGCAATGGCACGCTCTGACTACAACAGAAGCAAAACTGAAATGTTCTTAGACTTAGACGCAAAACAAGTGAACACGCAATCATGTCATCAGCTTTATAAAATATCTGCACCAGCCAGTTTTGTTTTTGTCGCGTGCATCAGTGAATGAGATTTGAATCACAGGTCTGTCATGCACCCTTGTTTCTATATAAGTAAATGTTTACTTTGTGGTATGTTAAAGAGATAGTGATGGGGCTGTTGTAAGGGAGGAAAAAAAGCAGACTGAAGGAATTCAAACAATACTGTTCAAGAAGGCAGACAAAAATTAGGCGTGGGTTGCAAAAGCCAAGGTGACGAAAGCTGATTCTAGTGATACGTTTCACTGGCTCACGTAAGTATGACCTGGTCAGTTGGCACAAGATGAGAAACTTACTGCATGAATGAGAAAAAAAAAACATCCATAAGTGAGCTATTACCGAGAAGGTTGGGTGCAAGTGATGACATGTAGCAAAGATGAACTTGGTGACGATCCTCATACGAACAAGCATCCACGGAGCCCCAAAGCCAGCATCTCACAGGAGGCACAGGCCCAGCTGTCAGCATCTCAGGGCAATAACCCAGCAAGTAAACGAACAAGCAGCCCATGTGATATTAGGCCGTGATTTTAATGTTTTAGATATTAACATTCAGTATTCCTCAACGTCAACATAATTTTGGAAGCCGTAGTTTAATGAGGGCAAGTCAGAGGTTTTCTGAACTGACACTTAAGTCAGCACATGAGCACCAAATATTCTGGTATTTTACAAGCTAGACTTGTTGTTTGTTTGTTTTTCAAAGAGAATAGATGAACACTATCCGCACACGCTGTGAAACTGAAGATTCTCTTTCATCTTTTCACTTTGCCTCCGGCTTTGTCCTGCAGAATGAATATTTGGCTCAAGACAAAAGGTGAGCTGATCAATTATTCCTCTCGCAGAGCCTGGGTGCTGTTGTGAAAAGCGTTGACATTTGAGCTTTCCAGACGACATCTGCAAATTTATATGCCTTCTATTGTGTGAGGCAGCCAGCCTGTATCAAAGGCTGTAAAAGGCCTTGTCAATTTCGTAAGGACAACTCCACAAAGACTCCTTTCTTGTCTGTTGTTATGGGAATAATGCTTTACGCTGGTGTCCTGCCAAAACCTCTTGGCAATCTGGCCATGTGATGTTATTGATTGCATTGATATCAGGCATCTACCATGGAAACCATCACACTGTCAGTAATGTGTTGTGAAACATCAGAAAATGCGTATTTGGTGATCAGCTTCAACAAAAATGTCTTCACAGAGGCTCTGCATACAAAATGTGTACAGTAAATATCTTTTCTCTGACTTCCTGAGGTTTAATGAAACCACTGATAATCAGTAAATAAACTCTGTCTGTGCCATGGAGTCTGGAGAGGATGAGGTTAGTTAACTTTTTACCCAGTTGATGTTTCTGGTTTTCATACTCAGGCAGAGATTTTTTCCTAACATCCACACTGAATGCGTCACACCTTGTGTCCAGTTAAGATGTTTGCTTGGGACGCATTTTGATCTTTATCGGGACTCTTTGCTCTTTGATGAAACCTGCTGTAATTAATCTCAAAACATACCTGTGCAGCCCCAGGCTATTCCCACTCCTGTTAAATAAAACTAAAACTTGGAGATCTCACATTGTGTAATAGCTACGTTGAAACAAGTCTCACCCTGTGGTCGAGGCTGGGAAAAGGTGAGTATGAAGGTGAGTCCTTGATGATCATCTATGTCCAATTGCGAGTGAATCCGAGTGAATGAAATTAAATCAATAGCGTCACCTCCACTCTTTGCCTTGGCAGAGGGCAGTAATGTACTGCTGGGACACAATATTTTCACAAGCTTAAGTGAGGCTAAATGCAGGGACGCTTGCATCAGCCACTCTGAGGTTCAGCTTTCCATTTCACCTCAGTCGCTTCCAATTCTTTATGTATCATGTTGGACCAAGCATGAATATCAAGGCTAAATGCCCTTTGTGCAAGCACACGTAATGCATATTTAGTTTTTTTTAAATTTTACATTAAATAATTACTTTAGTAAAGTCTAATTGGACACAGAACCCAAGGATTGACACTTCAGCTTTGTCGTTTAGCAGTGCCTTTATTGACAGTAGTGATTACTGTGGTTTCGGGCTTCTGCCCAGGACGCCGGCACTCCTCTGCAACTGTCACTCTCCTCTGCTACGTCTCACTGCAAGACAAAAAGAGTTGCCCTTCATCAAACCAGTTCAGCACACCTGCTCTTCCCCGCCTCCACTCCGCTCTGTGAGCTCACTGCATCACCCCTACTCTGCAGCATTCTTGCTAGCAGACTAGTAGTTAAAGTAAACTAAATTCTCTTCTGGGACACCCAGATTATATACAGATTATAAGAGAAACCCAGGGTTGTACGATGTTCTAGCTTCACGGAGGGCTTTCTCATAAGGCAGCAAACTATTTCTCCATGGCTAAATGATGATCATCTAAATATGTGATACGCTATTCCCTCTCCAGCTTATGAGTTATCTGCCTAAAGTGCGCATTTGAGAAATATACCTGGGAGTCAAGTACTTCTCATTTGAAACTCTTTTTTTCACAGGAGCTACAGTATAAGTACAAGATAGGTACAAGAAGAAGATAATTGACCTCTGTAGGAGTAGAAGTCAGGCAGCTGCTTTGTGTTGGTACAAGTATGAAATAGAAAATCTGGGAAACACTGGAGCCAAGAATAGTTTTGCACTCCTTGTTCTGTGTCCCCAAGTTTATGTACTAGGGAAAACTACGCAGTGCATAAACTTGGGAACATGGAGCAAGGAGTGCAAAACTATGATGGTAGGAGATGACAAAGGACAGTGGAAGATGGAGACAATAAATGCACACTGGATAACAAGAATTTAGGCACCGAGTGGTACCCAACCCTGCCGGGGAGGTGTCTGAGAAGACTAGCTGGTGATGAGTCACTGCAGTTATTCACTGGAATAATAAAACTAAGTAGACAAGCTACATTACAAACTGAAACTACGGAGGATATAATAAATACTAAAGGAAACTCTTAACCAAAGTATGGTCAAACTAAAACACAATAGATTCTCAAAAATACAAGGAATCACAAAAAAAAAGTCTGTGAAAAAGAAATCAACTAACAAAACAGTGCCGACATGTAGTGTGAGTTGTAAAGAAGAGTGTGTTGAGTTCCAAGAGGAACAATTACATCAACAAACACAAGATTTTGTCATTTAAGCGAGGGGCTTGAGTGATTTTTCTTCCCCCAGTTGCTTTACAGTGCTAGAAATGTGTTTATTTGCAAGGAAAAACAAGAACATTTAATATGAGATAGTGCTGAGAAATTCTTTCCTTTTTATGTTCGAGTTTGAAGTTCTGTTTGCAGTTTTGGTTCAAACATAGCTTAACCCCATGGTTCTTTTTAGCCACTTCTATAGGGCTGTCTGCAGCTGCAATACGCCTTGTTTTCATTTGTATTGTGTTCTTAATGTTAAGCACCTTAGTCAGAACTTCTGGGTAAAAAACCCAGAATTATGATACAAGCGAGTTTTTGATTTTAAGAAATAGATGTTAGTGACACATACAAACTAAGAAGTTATGCAACTACAACTAGATTAGACTGCCATCAGATAGAGGGAACAATAGAAGTCACATGACCCAAAGAGAAAGTGAAACAGCATTTATAGATCCAAACTCAGACTTGAAAGTCATACAAATTCATCAGCTGAAACAAAACGAAGACACCAACATCACAGCACAATT